AAAGTACTCTATGTTTCGGTAATTTGTAACGAAAATTTAATTAAACTCTTTCTCTCTCTCTCTCTCTCTCTCTCTCTCTTAAAGGTATTGTTTCTTTCTTTATAAATTGATAATTTTTCCAGAAGAGCCAATTTTGCTACTATTTAAAGCTTATATTTTGGAATTTGAAAGCAATTTTTATTGAACTATACTTCTCTCTCTAACTCAATTCCTCTTTTCTCAGAAGAAGGAGATCAAGCAAAGGGTTTTATCACATTCTCTTTATCACATGGTCCACATTACCATGTCTCTCAGGTATCTCAATTGGGTTGCTTGCTGATTCCAATTTGATATTTTTTAGTAAAAATGACCTATACATCTACCAATAAAAAAGAGAAAAAATCAGACTCTATGGTGTAGCAAACTGTAAAGTCTATCACTGCCAGTCATGTATAAGTAGTTAACTTGCTTGGATATGATTTACTATTTGATAATGCAAATACTAGTCTCTTTTTTTTTTTGAGCAAATAATGCAAAGACTGTCATCGTTAGGCTCTAGTTAAAGTTTGCAAAGACTATCACCACAATCAAACAATGTTTTCTACTTGAATGAATTGCTCTGTTTTCCTTCTTTTTTTTTCCCTCTATATTTCTAGTAACATGGCTAAAGAGTACTAACCTTCCCCTTAATTTGTGTTTCCTTATTTATTTAGTAATTTGCAATTCAAAGCTTTGTATTCCTTTCTCCTACCTAGGATAATTTAAAGGTAGAATTGAAGCTTTGAGTTTTGGATTTAGAGTGAGGCGGGGATTGTCATCCACCTGTTAATTTGATTTTAATTCTTATCCAGGTTGCAGATGCAGTAGTCGTAGCTAGATATTTAGGTGCAACACTGGTAATACCTGACATTAAGGGGACGAAAACGGGGGACAAAAGGTAATTATCTTGATACACACTTAAGCTGTTCATTGAAGACTTATTTGATTGCTTTTTGTTATGGGGGTGAGATGATAGTGATAATCTGTGACTCTGACATGAGAGTATATATTGGTAAGTTTATTAGATTATATATAGGCTTTTTGTGTTTGTTGTGAGCCCTTAACGTATTGTATTGTTTTAAGCTAATTTAGCCAATTTATAAAATTTATAAAATTTTTAATGATGTAATTGGGATAATCAATTATACATTCTTCATATAATGCTCATGGTGTGGCTTAGATATATTTGAGAGTTTGGCTTCCGTAATCCTTTAGGATTACAGAATAAATGAAATCAGAATTCTTTGTCAATTATGCCAAGTTAAGATATGGACTTTGAATGTTTTTTATACTTTTTCTCAGGAATCAAGGATCTTCAGTCAATTTTTACTATAAAAAAACTTTCATATCATGGATATTGGTGATCTTGACTAGCTAAACATTCATGCACTTGGAAATGACATCGCAATATAGAGCTTTATGCCAGTCTTGATACTCTTCGGCTTCTTTTTGTAATTCTGTAACAGTGTCCATTTTATAGATGTTCAATTACTATCAGGAAAAAATAAAATACATTATAATCCTTTTATGTACATGACATTTTTTTTTCTCTTGGTTAGTAGAATGCACTATGCAGGTCCATGTCACTGCAGATATGCTTTTTCTTCTGCAGCAATGTTGCTCCTTGTTGCATCAAATCAATTCTGATCTTCATTGAACTATTTAATATTATACAAGGAAATTCTTGTAATTTGAACAAATTCACATCTGCCTACTTTGGATTCATTTGCCTTACTTTTAAGTCATGGCTATCTTTTTTGATATCATCAAAAGCCCCAATGATGACAGTATTTGATTCTCAAAATCGTCTCGTTGCAGTCTACGTCTTTCTCATTTGTTTCCGCCACTCTCAAAATAATTTTGAAGACAAAAGAAAATTATACACTGTAAAAGTAGGAACATGGCTGAAGTTACTAAAATTCCATAAAGACAATATCTCTATAAGAAGATTCACTAAACAATCCTCCCTTCTACCCAAAATTTTGATACAAGTAAGTAAGGGTATTTTATCTATTTAAAGCTAATGGTGAGCTGATGTCATAGCCATGGTAAACAAATCTATATGTGTTGGTCTATATATATGAGAGGAAGTGTGATTAAGGTTAACCTTTTTCTTTTCTTTTTCTTTTTTTAAGTATGATAATGCTAGCTGTAAGTCACTCAAAAGTATGAAAGATCCGACAAGTGGAGAACCAGACGATACCCTCTGGTCATAGTGAGTGTTTTTTCGGAATTGGTTCTTCTCATGGTCTTGAACCTTATATTTGTGATGGGGTGATGCCTACCTATTGTTAACATTTGAATCTATCTAGATTACTTTCAAGTCCATCTTGAATCATGATTGCTCTGCTGATGATAGAGAGTTTTAAATTGACAAGATATGACAGAACAAACCTGCAAATCTTAAGAATGAACTTGCAACATGCTAGTTGTATTCTTACGAAATGACTAGAGATCAAAAGAGAGAGAAGGTCCCTTGAGACATTTACCTAGTAACTTACTTCATTCGGGATACCTTAGCAAAATAAAAGTTCATCTGGAAACCATGCCAAAGATATCAGAAATTCATAATGCTTGCTTAGAATTTTGGTATGACAATATGACCTCTAGTGGTTAGAACATAGGTGGTTAATTTTTATAATCATCTCAGAATATTTATACCAATATTGATGGCTAGAAATCCAGAAAATGAAAACTTGGTAGCAATTTTGCATTATCATTTTTGTGCACCAATTTATCTTGAAGTTTGGATGGAACTCATTTCCAGCGCATACTTCTCCTGCCTATTAAAATTAAAAGCTTTTCCATTTTTTTTCTCTCCATTAGGTTGCTGTTCTCAGATTTCTGCTTTTTTCTCACAGGAAGTTTGAAGAAATCTACAATGTTGATAAGTTCATGAAGAGCCTGAACGGTGTAGTTAAGATTGTGAGAGAAGCACCGAATGAATTAAGAACAGTAAAACCAGCACCCGTGAAGGTCCCCAGTCAAGTGACTGAAGACTACATTTCTGAACACATTGAACCAATATTCAGAATGAAGGGAAATCTGAGACTAAAAACTTTCTTCCCTGCTGTTAATATGAAAATAAGAGAGAAGAGGAGTGATATGGATTCAGTGAGGTGTCTTGGAATGTTCGGGTCTCTCGAATTGAAGCCTGAGATTCAAGAAGTGGTAGACATGATGGTCCAAAGACTAAGAACTCTAAGTCGTTCTTCGAATGGTAATTTCATTGCAGTAGATTTGAGTATTGAATTGCTGCAACAAAAGAGTTGTCAAGTTAGTCAAAACGATAACTTGGCAGGAAGGAAAAGGTGTTATACCCCAGGAGAAGTTGGCACTTTCTTAAGGCAAATTGGCTTCCAAAGTGAAACAGTTATCTATTTAACTCAGTCTGGATGGCATGAGAGTCTGAGTACCCTGAAAGAAATATTTCCAAAGATTTATACCAAGGTGTGTTGAAAATATTTCTTTTTTCTGCTATTTGAATTCTTCTATCCTGTATTATTATCATTTGTATTACAACTCTTGCTTTTCATGGCATAAATATTATGGAAACACTTCTGTTTTTATTTTTATTTTCTGAAGAAAACCATGCATATACCTCTTACCCATAGTGGTTGGCTTTTATTCACATGATGAAAGGAGCAATTGGATATTCCTAGTTACCTCCAATCTTCCAACTCTATTCTTATAAATCATTTCCCTAGAAAACCAATTTTTTAACTGATGGTTTGGAAATCCTTCCTAGCTTGATAACTGATTTTTCAGAAAGTGTTTTGTTAAAAGATTGTGCAACTAAATAAGGAAACCCCTGTCCTCAATCTCACTTTGCCTTCCCAAACAATGAATAAATGCTCCCTAGATTTAGCTAATTTCCACTGAAATTCAGGTATAATGTCGGTATACGGATGTTTGCATATTTTTCTTACGTACGGGTCATAAGTGACTGTCAATCAAAATTTGGCTTGTATTCATCTGAAACTTTTGCCCATGGCTTCATGTTTGTGTCAATTGCTCCTAAAGAAAAGCAGCTTTGTTGGAAAGTCGGATGTTCTTGTTCTCACTCTGATTTTTCCATTCCTTTGTCCATAACCATCTGAAGAGGTTACAATTCCCTTTCATTTTTGCAGGAAAACATCATCCCTGCAGAGAAAAAGGACAAGTTCCTCAAATCAGGAAGCCCAGGTTTGGAGAAAGCCCTCGACTTCCATATTTGCTCGAGAAGCGACGTCTTTGTCCCTGCCATTTCTGGTTTATTTTATGCCAATGTTGCAGGCCAGAGAATACCTTATGGAAAAACTCAGATTCTGGTACCAAATGGATCCTCCACTTCTACCTCGGCCACGGATTATTTGTCGGCTTTTGTATCCCAAAAGAGTCACCTCGCTTACTCATGTTTCTGCTAAAATCATCGACAAACATAGTGGCGTTTCTCTCATGGTTAATTCTTTAGAAACATGGGCTTCAGCCTTTTCCTTTTCTTTCTCTTTGAGTGTGAAACACTGGGTTTTAGGGACCGTTATTCAAATTCAACATGGTCCACGGACCCCAAGTCAAGCTTTGAGTGTGCAGAAAAATGATATACAAAAGAGTTCATATTGTACTGCCAGTTTGTGAAAAACAAATCAGTATTTTTTTTTATTATTTCTTTTTAGAAAGTTCATAAGAAGTCAAATAAGTTGTAATTGTGTGTGTTATACTGTACCAACAGTCTATGAATGTTGCTGTAATATGTAACATCTGAGCAGGATCTTCACATTTCATTTGCCTCTCATAATGAAGAATTCATTATAAACATTGTTATTTTTCTTGTTCTTTTTGTTTGTGAGATTGTTTACAATGAGTCTGGTATCTTTTATAGACAAAGGTCATAAACACTTCAAGCTGCCGGATGTAAAATCGAATGGTTGGGATGTCGTTTCTCTGCACGAAGTTTGAGAAATATTTTTCTAAACTGGAGCATGATAATGGTACAACCCATGCGGCCCAATTTCACAAATGGCTGGGGATGATTTTGGCCTTTTCATGTTATACTAAATGGTCGTACTGTGGGCTTTTTCCTTTGGACTTTGGAGCACTCCACAAAATTGAGCCAAGTTCATGAGTGGGTCTTCAAGTTTAGGTGATCTTATTCTTGATTTTAATGAATTTATAGGGTTAAAATCATAAATAGTTATAATTTTTGTGCCATTTTTTAGTAATTGAGCCAAATTTGTGAAGGAAAATTGTTCCATGCGGGCTGGACCGCATGACTACATATGCGATCCAAAAAGTGTAAAGCATCCATCTTAAAGATCGATGCAAGTAGGTGTTCCATCTAAAAATAATGGAAACTAATAGTCCAAATGTTTTCTTATTAGAATAATTATTTTTAGTCTTTAAAAATTAAGTCCAAAAATCCATCTCAAAAATAGATTTATTAATAGGCCCGCATTTTTATATATGTAGGCTTGACCGCATAGAAACCGGGGCCATTTGTGAAAGGTGTGGTGTCCTTCGATTTTTTCCCAAACGGTTTGAATACTATTATTTAGTTTTCTAGCACACCCACCTTCCTAACTACCAGATATGACAATGGACGGTTGATTCACCCACTCAAAGTCCATTAAAATTTAATCGACTTTGAGCAGAGGCAGAGCATGCCCCAACTGTCTATTGTTGATATTTGGCAGTTAAGTGAGTGCTATGAAACTCTAGGAAACGCAAATGGTAGCATGGCATACAAAACTTTTTAAATGGTCTTAATTATATTTCATATATACTTTTTTTCTTTTTTTTTTTTTTGGGTATAGTTTGTTTCAAATATACTTCATGCATTGCATGCTATGATACCATGTGTATAGAGCGAAGCCTTTCCAATGGTATAAATTTTTTATGTTGGGTGATTTATTCAATGTACAATAGCTGTTACATTCAGATAGTTGTTAAATAGTTGTCAATGTGTCGACAACAATGTCACATATTACTATCAATTATTATTTTTATTGCAAATAAATTATTGTATGATATAACTTTTGGGCCGTTTTCAAATATGACTATCTAGCCTTGTGCATGTATACCAATTAATGCTTAACATTATTTTTAACTCATTGCCAAAAGCTCTCCTTTGCTAGTCACACATTGCATGTTAACCCGGAAAAGGATTATATAAAGTTGCAACTTTACTTGTAAAGTAAAGTTGTAGTAATATACATCGTCCACACTATCTAAACAATATAAATTTGATATTATTTTAAAAGATGTGGTACGTTTTAATGTTTTGAAAGACGTTTTAAATCTACACTATACAATTAAAATTGATAGTACAAAGTATCACAATTTACTTTTACGAAAAAAAGTTGCCAACTTATATGGACCGCACCATGTATGTAGCAACATTTGACTAATTTTCTACTTAGCTGGTAATTAATGTATGAAAATGTCTAAAACAATGAGGATTATGATTAGATACTTTATTATATAAAGTTAACTATTTAAAGGAAATAAATACTTTATTGTAAATCTTTTTTGTGTGTGTTAGAGACTGTTAACCTAATTTTATCAGGGGATAAATATCCATAAAGATACCTATCCGTATTGATATGTCATACATATCCAAATGCTAACATAGACAAGCTTCTTTTGTAATTGAGGCACCTTTCTTTTGATTTTTTTCCTTTTGAAACAAAAAAAAACTAATGTGGTCCCCTTGGACTGGTTACCCTCTGAGCTGGTAATAAAGTATTATGATACTTCATCATGAACATCCATTTTGCAATAGACAAGTTTATTGTTTTATAATTCAAGCACTTTTTTTACTTTTATCCTTCTTAAAGGGGTAAGGTATTTGAGCAATAACGTTGGGCCATTTTTAAATGCCAATCGTTCATATTAAAATCCTTAAATTTCGGTTATCTAACTAGAAATATATCACTCGTAACTTATTCCCTAGTTTAACTTTCTAATGTCAAACAACCTTTCATGATCAACTAATTTATCTAAAAAAGTGGTCATTTTGAAAAGATAATTTAAGTCGAGTACCATTTCAAGTATTTTGTGCAAACATCCAAAATGCTTTTATTTTTTTTTGGGTTTAGAGTCTTGATCATGCAAAAGTGATTTTGATAAGGGCGTGGTTTTGTAAAGAGCAACAATCAAAAGTAAAGCACAACTTCAAATGGTGTCGAGAAATGTTGGTTTTAATATTGAAAATCTTTTTAATAGCCTTAAAATAGATTTTCATCTTTGATCATAAAATTTAAAACTTCAAGCAGATATATGGAAACTTGAAAATTTTGAAAATTGATGTTAAAAAAATACATTACAAGATGTACTATTTCTAAAACATGAAATCCATTTTTTTCTCATGTTCATGTATATTGACGTCGAGATGATCGATTTGAAGATATTTGAGATCAAAACCTCTTCTAGCAGAAGTTTTGAGGTGGGCTTTAATTTGATTGTTTTGAGCTTTGGCTCTATGTAAACCTTTTCCTTATGATAATTTAGCGTCAATTAAGTAGGCTGAGCCAAATGATAAGAACATAATATATTATTTTCATTGAAAAAGATATATATATGTCATATGACTCAAGTAGCTCGAGTGAAATATCAAAACTTTTCTTTGAGTTTCAAACCTAGAATATGAACTATTCTCTCTTTCTTTTCTTTTTTCTTTTTTTCTTTTTTGAAAGTTAACAAGATTTCATTGAGATAATAGAATATATATAATATTCTCATCAGAGAATTTTGATATTTATTTGGAATCGAGAAAAGTGTGCATGGAAGTTCATAGATATAAAAGTAGTACATCTTGTAACAAGTCATCTGGATCAATTTTTTGAAAGTTTATATGGATCTACTCGGTCTTAATTAAATTTTAAATTTATAATTAATACTAAGGGAAAAATTTATATAGAGCCGAGGCTCTAAACAATCAAATAAGACCCTATCTCAAAAATTTCACTAGAAGAGGTTGTTTTGATGCCCAAATATCCTCAAATTAATCATCTCGACATCAAGATACATGGACATGAGAAAAAAATGGATTTCAAATTTTGAAAATAGTTTATTTTTTAATGCATTTTTAGACCGTCAATTTTCAAGTTTTCACTTGAAAATTTTGAACAGTGATGTAAATCTTCGGTTGGACTTAAAAGCTGAGAGTCCCGCAAGCTCAACAGAGCGTCTTAATGGAGGTTTTGAGGTCGTCGATTCTTGGTTCGCAGCAACTGTTCCCTCCATTGAAACTGTATTCTTTTAAAACCAGATTTTCTCTCTCTAAATTGATCCCTTTTTCTTCTTCTCTCTCTTCTTCCTCCTCTCTCTCTTCATTGAGAGAAGATAGAGGCAAGTTTCGCTCTTTAATTGAATCTTTTGACCCTAAGACTCCATTAGAAGAGGCCTTCACTCCACCAAGCTCATGGTACACTGATCCTTCATTTTATGCCCTAGAATTGGAGAAGGTTTTTTACAAAGGATGGCAAGCAGTAGGTATAATCCTTTTGACTTTCAGCTCATTTCTCTCTCTCTCTTATCCAGCTGTCTTGTCTGGTGAGAAGTTTCAGATATTTTCCATATATTTTTCCATATTTAGCTGTTCTCAGTCTTTGAAATTACGTCGGGAAAGTATTGTTCCTTTTCAACTGAACCTCTTTTTTTTCGTGTGAATGATTACTATCATTGGAGATTTAATGAAATTCATGGCCGAAGTATAAGGACTTTGATATTTGTTGTTGGACCATTCGAGGCCCAAATTTTAGTTGAAGAATATCATAAATTTATTGGCCTTCGATAAGTTTGTTGCTTAGTCTTTTATTTTTCTCTATTTTCATTAATTTTTTGGACTAATTTGAAGTCTATTTGATATGAATTACTTTCTTTTTTCCTCAGTTTCCTCGGTTCTCTTTTGGATATTGCAAAAATTAAATGATTACCGAGGTTTTTTAGCATGGTGAAAATCGCGTGGGTGTATGCTATTGTCATCTGAGCTTTACTCTGATAGGTGGCATTAACTTAATTGCTGTTTCTTTGATGTTCAAAACCCATTTGTTGGATTTTCATTTACTTGGTTTGTTTCCTCATGCAATGCATATCAGTGAATTCTCATAATCAATCAAGCTAGAGCATCTTGCCATCATTTGGTATGCCTATACTTTTCTCTTTTGAATATTTGGTAAGTTCTAACATTCTAATAATAATAATGATATAAGTAACTATTTAAAGAAGAACAGGAATTGTTGTTTGGATATTGATCTCATAATTTGAAGTTTTTACATGTTCATTTTCCTAATTCTTGGGTAAGTTGGTTGTTAATCTCGTAAAATGAGGTCCTCATTTTGAATATGTGTTGCAATGCGTTGATGCAAGTTATCATTTATTTGTTTGACGTCCTTGAGTTCTTGGTCATACTGGAGCCTAATTCTTTTCCTTTTGTTTTTTTCTTCTCAATATCTTGGGGATTTGGTTTTCATATCCTTGCTGTTCTCTTTTTCCGTGTTTTCATACATTGCTATTGTCTGCTGTTCCAATTACTGAGTAGAGATACTTGCATGAAGGAGTTTTCTAAGTTGTTTTTCCCACCTTTAAGTTCCTAAATTTCTTTACCAATCATATTATTTATAACTCATCTCAGTAATTTTCATCTGCTAGAGTTTCTGTAGGGAATTTCCTTCGTTCCACGTATTCTGATCATGCGGAAAGTCTACAAAAGGCTACTGTCAAATGAGGTTAAGATGGTGAATCATGGTGGAACCCTTTTGATAAATCACATGCCTCTGAGTAACATTATTTTCTGTCTTTTGTAGGCTATGTTGAACAAGTCAAGAGTAGCCATGATTTCTTCACTGGAAGGTATTTTCAATCTTTATCAACCAGAATTGAAGAAGCTATATCATAGAGTTCGTCGAAGATGACTATGGCACTAATTATCCTTGTGAAATAGCGCTGAATTTGGTTTTGGTAGAATTATAGCCAATTTAACACTTAAGTTTGTTTATCTTGTTGTTGTGTATTTGGAATATTTAAAACCACATTTTTTTTAATTTATTTTTTATTCTATGATAACTAATCAGATATTAAAGCAGATTGGGAAGTGTACAATTTGTGATCTGTCGAGATGCAAATGGAGACCTTCGTGCTTTCCACAATGTGTGTCGCCATCATGCTTCTCTTCTTGCTTCAGGCTGTGGTCAAAAGTCTTGCTTTGTCTGCCCTTATCATGTGAGTGATGATGATGCTTTTTAGTGAAATATCATTTTTATAACTCAGTTACAGGTTCACTCATGTGTGCTTCATGAGTTTGAATTCCTTGTATCATTGTTTATGTTGGCACTTGTAAAAATCAATTAGGCCTAGCAATGTAGTGCATGGGTCCATACCTTCTTAGAAAACTATGTTTGCTATATCACCCATTATATGTTTAGCTTTGCAACCATTCACATCTGAAGAGGCTGATCACCTGATGATACAACCATGTTTTGTATCTTTTTTTTTATCTTTAAAGAGCCAACTGATGCTGGTGCATGGAATAAAATTCTAATTTGGGTGTGTGCATATTTGCTTGCCAGAATAAGACGGCAATCATCAGTAATTGCCATGCAAGCTTATACAAAACTTATTTTCATATGTTATTATCTAGGAGGGTTATATGTAACAAGTATTTGAGGAAATAGATTTGGGATTTGAATCTAAACCAATATTCTGCTATGAAGAACGATGCTAAATAAAGATGTGAATGTCATGATCACTTCGTAGTATGATGCTTCCATCATAATATTAGTTACATGTTCTCCCCTTCCATGTAATAGATGAAATTTAATTGTTTATTTTTTTATTTTCGTGGATGTGTCTATTTATCGTAAGTGATAAAATGTTTGGATTCAGCACCTTGTCATGTATATTTTAGAGTCTTTTTGCAAAGCCCACACCAGCGAAATCAAGTTTTACCCATAGCATCCATTCACATATGAAGGCCATGGGCACTTAACTTACAACTTGAACTCTACTTCATCCCCCTCATTCCTTCACCTCATACATACTTTGGGGCATTTGAAGCTTCCATTTTGGGTATGGTTCCCTGTAAGAATGCTATCTGCAAATGTTAACCTCTCAATTCCGACCACCCTCAGAGGGGAATGGACCCACCACATCAGTTTTGTTGCCTCTGCTAGGATTACAAAGCCGTCGTTGTTGCCAAACACAGATCTCTAGAACCAACTGTCCTTCATATGACAGTACTGCATCTTCATATATTTATCCAAAAAAATAGCGTCTCTATATATTTATAAAAAAAATGACATGAAAAAAAAGTTCATGCATTACTTGTATTTTAAATAAATATCATTGAAAGTCAGGGCAAACAAATGAGATATTAATGTAACCGTGTTCCTACATGATGAATTTTACTTTGGATGGTGACGCATATTTTCGCAGGCATGGACCTATGGGTTGGATGGTAGACTACTCAAGGCTACTCGAATTTCTGGGATTCAGAAATTCAATGTACATGTGAGTAATGATTTTTAAGGCCGTAAGATTTCATGTTTTCAATATGTTATACCTCATGGTTCCTTTATGACTTGTTTTTATTGCCTTTGTGAATAGGATTATGGGCTTCAACCTATAAATGTGGCTACTTTGGGGCCATTTGTACTGATAAATATGGATAGTAGTAATACGAATTCAGCAAATGAGAACTGCAAAAGAGTGGCAGAGGAATGGCTTGGCAGTTGCTCAGAGATTTTGAGCACCAATGGGGTTGACCTTTCGCTCCCCCATGTTGCTAGACGCGAATATTCCATCAACTGTAACTGGAAGGTTTGACTAGATTCTGAACATTTATATTCAGAACAATATATTGCTTTGTTTAACATGCATCACTCTGGTCTTATTTCGCAATCTTTTCCTGAATCTTTTGGTTTTAAAGAAAAAATAAACCATCCTTTTCTGGCTAATCAGTGGCAAGTTTGTTTTTGTCATCTGCAGATCTTATTATATCTTGGGACTGTTTTCTTTCTATATAACATATTTTATATAAAAATATGCATAATTTAAAACCAAAATACCATAGCAAATAATAATTTGTTGCCAATACATTCATAATATCTTTTGCTTCCTTGCTCATACCTCATGCAGGTATTCTGTGACAATTACTTGGATGGGGGATACCATGTTCCATATGCTCATGCAGCTCTTGCATCTGGTCTCAATCTCCAGACATACTCCATAGATGTATGCCATTTACCTAATGATATTTTGCTAATATGACTAGTTGATTTTTACATCATTAAAGTTTGTTTCTTTTTTGGCATGCATCAAGGCATGACAATGAGTTGATAACATTAACTTATCCGGTTGCTATGGGAATTCTCATCACAGACCACACTGTATGTTTTATATGAATTCTGATATTCATTCCGAAATTTCAAATAAACTTGTTTATATTACTGATCTATATACTAGTGGTTTCATATGATGACTGATCTTTCTATTTACCTAGCTAAGGATTATTGCTTGTTCAGATTTTTGAGAAGGTTAGCATTCAGACATGCGAAGGTATACAAGAGGGAAGCAAAAAGGATTTTGATAGACTTGGATCAAAAGCAATGTATGCTTTCATTTACCCAAACTTTATGATCAACAGGTAATCGCCTCAATATTCTCCGTTTCTATGCTGTATCCCATTACATTCTATGATCCATTTTATTGAATCTTATGCATTTTTTTGTTCTCTTATTGGTAGGTATGGACCATGGATGGATACAAATCTAGTCCTACCATTGGGATTCGATAAATGTCAAGTCATATTTGACTACTTCTTAGATTGTTCATTAAAGGCAAGACTTAGGTTTCACTTTCATCTAAGATGATCAAAATTGCACATGGAAAATTTGCATCTAGAACATCTCCCAAATAGTGAGAATGGAAACTATATACCTGGATTCTCAGCCATTCTAAGCACTTCTTATTAATTTTATTACAAGGATTGGTGTATTTGGTGGGTGGTCATTATGCCTCGATGCTTAGGAAACTATTATTTTTCAAGTAGTGATCTTGGAATGACCATCTCTAGAAATACCCTGATACTTCACTATGGCTAATGTAACAGTATAAATACAGTGCAAATTTTTAACTGGTATTGGATACTCTTAGGACACTTATGAATATCGAATCTTGTAAACTTAGGAAATCTTATATATATATATATATATATAATATAACTTTATGTATGTATACTAATACAATATATTTGAAGTATAATATATCCAATATGTACAATATTAATACGTTAAATTATATCAAAGATATAATTTTACAAGTGGTACACTTACAACATCGATTGAAGTTTTACAAGAATGATTGAGGTAATGTGGTCTTATGTTATTTTAGTTCTCTTTTTTTGTTCCATTTTCCCAATTATGAAGCAATTCAATCTAGTATCGGTTTGATTTTCATAAGCTATTAGTATCCAATGCAAGAAGTAATGGCACTGTAAATTTGGTCATAATAAAAGCCTCATGATAGGGCATTTTGTTGGTGGATTTCCCATATTTAGCCATTGATTCTTGATACTACATTTTTCCTATGCCCAGGATGACAAAGCTTTTATTGAAAGAAGCCTAGAGGAAAGTGAGAGAGTGCAGGTACCTCCAATGCACAAAAGTTTGGATTCACTTTGTTTCATGGAAAGTATACTCATAGACAATATCAATATGATGTATTTTCCCGGGTAATTTATGTGCATGGGGACTGATCTGACACCTTGCATCGAGATCAAATGGCTAGCAACAAGCTGATGACAATGTTAAGGGCTAGCGCTACTTGTTCCTATCAAGCCTCAAGTAATGCGCGACATTATTGTCGGCTTGTTACTAGGATTGTCAGTCCCGGGCTCATAAAAACATAAAAAACTCGCTCTACTTTTCCTTTGCTTGCAATAAAAGCGAGCTTCTATGCATCTCCACACATGGAATTTATATATATCATGAAACATATAGCCGTTTGCTATCACATATTAATTATAGCTTGACAAAAACCAGTTAAGCCTTTAGACATAAATTATGTTGTTGGGGACTCGAGACGTTTCCCTTTTAGTATCTTCACAAGTTATGATTTTGACTAATGAGTGATGAGACCAAGTGTATGATTAGATGGAAGACATCATACTGTGTGAAGGAGTTCAAAAGGGCCTTGAATCACCAGCATATTGCAGTGGTCGCTACGCACCCACAGTTGAGCATGCCATGCGCCATTTTCATTGCTGCCTCCACCAAAACCTTATATGAATATATTTTCCCATGAGACTTTTTTTCTTTTTTTTTTTGGAGCCAAGTCAAGATACATATTTACATGGATTTTCCTTTTTTCTTTCTTTTTTTGTGCCGAAGACAAGGTACATATTTTTTTGCATTGATATGTAAAACTATATGCATGATTGCTGTCAACAAACTTGTTAGAAGTAAAGTACACCTCATAAATCCACCTTAAAAGGTTCTTTCAAAGTCGAAAAATCCTACATTGATCAATCTCTAACTTGAGATGTATGGATATGGAAAAAAAACGATTTCAAATTTTAAAATAGTGCATTTGATAACATATTATCTAGGCCATTCATTTTCAAAAAATTTAAGTGTCTATAGATCTACTCAATTTGTATCATTTTTGGAGTTTTAAATTTCATAATTTGATTTGAAAATGGACTTTTAGGTCATCATAAGGGTTTCTGGCAGTAGAATGGAATCTTTTAGTAAGCTTTAGAGGTCCTTTACGATTGACACTCTATACAAGCCACCCCCTTTTCTTATTTCTAGAACTTAATTAATCTTAGTAGAAGAAAAAAAAAAAAAACATAAATGCATGTTTGTTTGATACTTCAAGGTGAAAAGAGTATGATTCATATGGTCCTGATGACAACATGACCTTGTGGGTTACATTGGTCTATCAAAAGGTGTGGTTTCTATAATGTTGCAACTTTAAACAATCAAATTAAGGAGTACCTCCAAATTTTATTATAAAGGGACCTAAAACAATCAAATCAAAGTGTACCTCTAAATTTTATTATAAACATAATTTTGTTGTAAAATAGGTGATAAAATGATAGTAGATTTAGGTGGGCTGATTATGTGGGACCGGTCAAGAACAACATTTGTTCGGAGGTGTTAGTTCAAGTAGGATTTAAAAAGGCAAGGGGTAGGTTCAAAAGGATGTAGTTGGAAGTAGTTCGAAAGATATAAAAACTTATGACCTCATTGTGGGTATGACTTTTAATGTAGTATAATGATAGATCAGGATTCGTGTACTTGACTTTAATTAATTGGGAAAAAATTATATGATGGTGATTTTGGTGAAAAAAATTCTTCAGATTGTTTGAGAATTTATTTTCTATCTCTAATTACAAAATCTTAAACTCCAAAAATGGTTCTATTCAAGTCAATCTATAAATAATTGAAAATCTTGAAAATGGACGGTCTATATAATGTATTTCAAGATGTACTATTTTTAATACTTTAATTTTTTTTCTTTTCATATTCATGCGTTTCGATATTGAGATGATTCGTTAAAGGGTTTCTAACATCAAAACAACTTTTTATGATGGATTTTTTAGGTGCATTTTAATTCTGTATTTAAAAATTGCGACCTTGTATAAACAAATTTCCTATATCAAATGCAATGTATGGTGATGATGAAGAAACAACAATGCGTGTAAATAAATTGATGGAAGTTTCATGGGGTCCACTTTGTCGCTGGATGATGTTATCATGAGAACATGGATCATATTATACAGGCCCTCTAGAAGTGTTTCCTACTTTAAAAAATTTATGTAAAGTTACACTATAAAAGTAATAGTAAGCTGTCAATAATATACTAGGAACCATTGTTTCAAAGTTAGAAAACCTTCTGATTGATCATCGGTATAAGGGAAAATTAAATAAATTGAAATCTTAAAAATAGTTCATCAAGTTATTTGAATTATCTATTTTCAAGATTTTTTAGTGTTTATTGATATGTTTAATTTAAATTGCTTTTAAAATTTTAGATTTTGTAATAATAGTGGAAGATGGATTTTCATGCTAGTGGAAGGTTCCCATTGAAACTATATCTTTCAATAAAATTTAGCTGAGCGCCTTACTTCTATAAGGTGGTCACCTTATGTATCTCTCTCTGTTTTTAATCCTCATTGGATAGTGTTATAAATAAAAGTTCTTAGCATTTGTCAAAAAAAAAAAAATGGTCACCTTATATAAGCCTCTTCCTTATATTAATCTACTAAAATACTTAAGAACATTGTTTCAATGAGTCCATGTAGAAATGAGTCACCTCTTAAGAATCTATTTTTGAGATTGATTTTTGGACTCAATTTTTAATGAACGACAATATCTAATATGGAGATTATGCATATAAAGATAAATTGATTTTAAAACTTAAAAATAGTAATTTTATAAACAAAAAAAATTAGACTGTTAGATTCAATTGTTTTTAGATGGACCACCCATTTGTGTCCATCTTTAAGATGGATGCTCTATACCTCCGACGCAAATGTTGAAATGCTTTCCCCAATGCAATGCATGGAACAATTTTTTAACATTTAATGCCAAATTTTGAAAGCCAAAAGATATTATACTCTTGCATGAGTATATTGTTTATTTGCTAACCCAGTTAAAACCCAGTCTAGAATTAATTTTAGGACCTCAAATTTGAGGATGTAACATCTTCAACCCATATATTAACCTCAATAAAAAAACATTTCCAAATTGTACCATCTATGTACTTAAAAAAAATAATGTCATGCTATTAAATAGAGGCCATCTAATTTTTAGATGGTGAATAAGTGTTAGAAAACTCAAATTTCAAAAACAAATTTTCTGAGAATAACCCTTCCGTCTTTCTGAAGATTTAGATTGAAAAAAATCCTCTTGTGACTGGGGTAGAAGAGTATACGTGCCCATTTTGAATTAAGTTACCATAGAGAAAAGAGGAAGTGATTAAAAAACAGGTGACTTAGGCTCGGAATTGCCGAATCACTCAAAATCGGACCCTCTGATGGTCTTGACTCACTAGAATTGAGATCCTTGATTTCAATCTAAACTGACCTGTTTTTTTTTTTTGTTGAACTTTGCTTTCTTAGCCCTAGTAGAGTGGCCATGACTAGCTTTTTTATTTTTGGAAAATGGTTTGATAGGGCTACAGCCCTGTCAAAATAAGTAAATCTTCCTTTTATAACTTATAAAAAATTGCAAGTCATGTATTGGAAAATGATCATCTCAAATTGAAAATTATGGTTGTGAAAAAAAAAAAAAGATTTCAAGCTCTAAAAATAGTGTATATTGTAACAAATTATCTAGACTAAACTATGGTTGTGAAAAAAAAAAAAGATTTCAAGCTCTAAAAATAGTGTATATCGTAACAAATTATCTAGACTATCCATTTTGTTTTAAAAATAGGTGTTTATCATTTTTTGAGTTTCAAATTTTATTGTTGGTGTTGGAAATTAATTTTAAAGCAATTATAAAGATTTTTATTGCCGAAAATACTTTCTAGAAGAGGATTTAAGGTGAGGCTTGACTTGGTTTTTGGATAGCCTAAGCCTTATGGAAACCTCATCCTTTATTTTATTTTATTTTTTGTCAAAAGACCTTCTTGCAAGAACATTTCCTCTATTCGCCTCTCTAGGAGTATTGGAGTGTTCTTTCAACCCTAGAGGTTGACAATATAACTTCTTCAACCTAGATGCTGACCTAAAAAAATAAAATAAAAGGAGAAGTATCTTATGAGGTCGGGAGTGCAATCCTATATTCGTGCCCCTTGCATAAAACATCTACCTTAAAAATGGATTTAAACCGGTGGTTCCTCAAAAACAAAACAAAAGGAAAAGAAAATCCAATGTTCTAATCTTTTTTAAAAAATTATCAATTTTAGTTTGAAAATTTATTTATTTCGACGTATTAATGATCTTGATGTAAGACTCTTAGAAAATAAAGTCCAAAACCCATCTAAAAAATAAAAAATAGATTATAAAGAGGGGAGGAGTATCTGTAATGCAATGTGTAACGTGGCTCTCTCTCTCTCTTCTCCCTCTAAGTTTTATTTTATTTTGATATTTAAAAATAAGGGTGCAGTTAGAATGCGGATGCATCCGTAGCTGTAGAGGTGGGGTGCACCTTCAAATTTTATCATGGTATACAACTTTGATGTAAAATGTTCTTAGGATTATCTCAAAATCTATTTTTATATCTAATTATAAAATTTTAAATTTTAGAAATGGTTAAAATCAAGTAGATCTATAAACATATAAAAATCTTGAAAATGGACGGTGTAGATAATATGTTATAAAATGCACTATTTCTGAGACTTAAAATCATTTTATTTTTCATGGTCATACATCTCGATGTTGAGATGATCAATCAAAGGTTTTTTCAACATTAAAACTACCATTTCTGATAAATTTTTGAGGTGCATCCATAATTCTACATTATAACATTGCATCCTTATATAAACCTTTTCCTAAAAATAATCTCATATTTATATTTTACACTCGAGGTCCTATTTTTTGATAATATAATGTATTGTAAATTAGAAAAAGTTTATATCAACCTTAAAATGTAGAATTAAAGATGCACATCAAAAATCCATCGAAAAATGTTGTTTAAATGTTGGAAAGACCTCTAAGTGATCATCTCAACATCGAGATGTATGTATATGAAAAAATAAAAATTTTGAGTCCCATAAATAATACATCTTGCAATACATTATCTAGAAATTTGGAAGTGCACTATTGTAGAAAGTTGCAACCTTATAGAAACCACACCCTTGTAAATTTATAGAGTAACGATCCGATGAGACCCTCCTAAACTCATATGTATAAGACTCAGATCACTATTAAATTTAACACAGATCTCCCAAACATAATTTTTTTTAGATGTTTGTACTAAATTTAATGATGATCCTTTAATATCCTGCACACGTAAATATGAAAGGGTCTCGTAGGATCATTACTCAAATTTATATCATTATCTTTAGATTTGGTATCAGCTCGTGCGTACCTATACTCACCTTTATGCAGTTATAAAATAATGTTAAAAAATTAAGTTGAGACAAATAAAAACACCAAACTATCCCCAAATAGTATAAAGGCATTTTGATAATTCTATTTCTTTTAAATTATTTTTAATAGTTTTAATAAATGAAAAATAATAAAAAGTATGGACATGCCAAATTTGAACATAAAAATAATAATTAAAATACACTATTATGTTCTATAAAAAGGATTTCATGGTAAAATATGAAACATAAGATGCTGTTTTTAAAACTTAAAAATAAAACAAGATTATATGTAAATTTCACCGCATATAACACAATGTACAATTTCGTACACAATTTCTCAACACATTGTGTATTGTAGCGGTCTCTCTCTCTCTAGCTTACTAAACAATGTGTATTCATAGCACACATTCTCTCAAGCTTACTAAGAACCTCCAATGTGGTACTCTCTCTAAAACTCAACGCAATGTGCATTGGGGCTCTCTCTCAAAGTCACTAACGCAACGTGCATTCTCTCTCTCTCTCTCTCTCTCTCTCTCTCTCTCTCTCTCTCTCTCTCTGTAACTCTCTCTGTAATGTGTCTACATTTGAGCATTTAGTTCTCACTTCAAAATCCAAACCACAAAAGCCTTATTAAACCCCTGCCACCATCACATGTGTCAACCCAATAACTATATAATTCTCGACGAAAAGTTGACAAATCAAAATTTAAGGGGAAAAGAAATAAAAAAAATCTGAAATCCATTTACATTTATGAGAAAATATCTATACATCTTGAGTTAGAGTAAGCAGAAATTAGTGGATGGCGTGTTGAACTTCAATCACGGGATGATGTTAAGCAAGAAAAAGAAAACAGTTTCTATAATAAACATAAAATGCACTCACTTCAAACATAAAAGGCAGTCACACAAGAACCACCACCAGAAGACCACAGAAGCCCAATCCTTCTCTACTCGACACAATCTCATGTGAAAAGGACTTCAGTGTAAGCCACCATCCGGCCTTCAGTTCTCTCCATGTGCTGAACAACAGAGTCAAAATCGTGAGATGCAGTATTTAAAAACCAGCCGATGCAGATTGGGAATCAGCCCTCTCTAAAACCCCCTTTCATAATTTTTTTTTTTTTCCTTTATTTTAAAAGCTTATCCTATCGCTTTCTTAAATCCCCACCAAATCCACCCCAACTAATCCCTATTTTAATTTTTTATTTTTAATATTTTTCTGGATTGACAATCTGAAACAGATTTGCGGGGTGGACGATCCACCACAGTGTTTCGGAATTAGAATAAGATGCATAAAAAGTAAATAATATAAGGGAATTATAATATTATATCAAAGTAAGTATAGATTAAAGGGAAAATGACCTCTACCCCCTCGCAATTTCCATCTCTATTAACCCTTTGCGTTCACCAAAATCCCTTGTAGCCCCTCATGTATAAAATTTTGAGACCTTTAGCCCCCCAATTATGTTTTTCTTTGTCCATTTTACAAATTTGATCTTTTTTTTTTATACAAAATGCTAAACCCACACATTAGTTATCTATATTTTTTTTTGTGACTTGATATACAAATTGCATTGATCATAATAACAATAATGATAATTATTATTATAATAATGATAATAACAACAACAATATATTAATTGTTAAATAATTCATCTCCTATAGGTATTTTGATAAATTAATTTAATAAATGAATAGATAATAATAATAATTTATTAACAATAATAATTACGATCTTGATTAATCATTTTTCAAGTTCAAAAGATATTGATGCAATTGTAAAATAGGTCATAATATTAAAAAAAATAAAAGTCTAAATTTGTAGAGTGGGGTCCACGGAGGTAAGATTGGTTTTGGGCAAAGAGAAGAGAAAGTGAATGGAGTTGACTGATGGATGGTTGTGGCATTTTGTAAGAAAAAAAGATCTAAGTTGTAAAAAGAACAAAGAATAACATAATTGCGGGGACAAATAGTCTCAAAGTTTTAAACTTGAGGGGGTACATGGGATTTTGATGAACTCAAGGGGCTAATAGGGATAGAAATTTGGGGGAAGGAGGTAGATATCATTGTCCCTAGATAAAAATTGTTCTTATAATCAAGAAAAACTTATCAAAATACACCTAAAATATCAACTATTGTAACATATGATCAATGTACTTTTATGAGATTTTTGAAATTGAACAAAAAAATTCAATTGTTAGATAAGTTCATCTCATAGTTATTTTTTATAAATTTCTCTATCATCCTTAAATTAGAGAACTGTGAAAGGTTAGGCATCACAAGAATGAATACCAGATGATGGTGAAAGCGCATCTAGCGGAGTGTGTTGCTTCTTGCGAATATACTCCCCAATTGGTCTTGCAGGAACTGGAATCACCTTTATAATGAAAGCCAGGGGCCAACTAAGGAAGAAATGATACCGACTTAGTTGTATACGAGGGGAGAGAAAAAGAGAGAGAGAGAGAGAGAGAGAGAGAGAGGAAC